TTTATAAAAGATATATAATAAAAATTTTTATATTTAAATAAATCTTAATATCTAATAACTTAATTAAATAAGATAGAGTTAAAATTTTAGTTTGAAAAAATAATCTATTAATATTTATCTGATATATTAATATTTTTTATATTGAATTATATATAATAATATAAAATATATATTTTATTAATATATTAAAATAATTAATATTTTAGTTATTTTTATTTTTACTTATACTTAAATAATTAGTTATTAATATAATAGAATTATAATTATTATTTTCTTTATTAGTATCTAATAAATCTTTCTTTTTCTTTATTTTTTTATTTAAATTATTAATTAAAATAATACTTATTCAACGTAATTTTTCTAATTAAAGCTCAAGATCTATTTGATTATATGATTTATTATTAAATTTAAAAGATAAAAAATATTGATATTAATATCTTTAGCTTCTTTATTATTTATATTATTATATATTTTATTAATTCAAGATCAAATTTCATCTTTATTATATAATTAAACATGCTAAATTAAATATTAATAATAATATTAACCAATTTTGACAAAAAATATCTATTAGTTTTAAAAGAATCAATTATATATTAATATTTAATTTGCTTATAATATTTGATTACTAAGCTTTATATTTAATAATACAATTAATTTTTATTTATTCTATCTTAATTATAATATATAATAAATTATTAAATATAACTTTGAATTTTAATAATTATAACAATTATGGTTTAATATTTTCTATATATTATATATATAAAGTTTCGTTATAATAATAAAGTAATATATTTACTATATATTAAATAGAAATCAGATATAATATACTTATCTCTTCATATAATCATGTTTTGGAAACAACAAAAAAGTGTGATTTTAGAAATTGTAACTGTATAAAGATTAAATTTTTTATGCTTTATGCAAGATTCATTTTTGGATAGTTGAACAAATTATTCAAATTTTTTTGAAAAGTTATTAGTAATTTAATTATTTTTGGTCTGGTTCAAGGCCAACCCTGGCTTTATTATATTTGGACTGATTATAGAAAGGACGTGACTAAAGGGATGGCTATATATAGGGAACAACTGTATACAATACATATATATACATATACATGTAATTCAAACATATTTTCAACTTAATTTGACTGACTGTTATAAAAATTTTACATAATGTAAACTATACATCACTTTTTAATTCAACTTATTTTCTATAGAAATTTAATATTCGAATCTCGGAACTAAACTAAATTTTATGTTTTTAAGATACTCTTAACAGAGAATATCTAATAAATCAATAGGCACAACGTATATAGCTTTTTTAATTAAAAGTGCCGTTATAAATCTTGAATTTTTAAGCTTTGATAAAGATTTATATAAAAAATTCACTTAAAATTTCCTATGATATAGTGCGGAACGGTTATCAATCATTCGAATCTAATTTGCAAAAAAAGAAGATAATTTGGCTAGAAAATCAAAAGTCTAAATACATAATTATTGTATTACTGTTAATTCAAAAAAATTATTTAAATCGGGTCGTTAAAAAATTGTATTTTATAAAAATAATTTTTTAAATAATATTCAAGCATATTTACAAGTCTAATTTGCTCAATTCAAAAACCTTTTATTCTAAAATCTTAGGATTAATAAACATCTGCTTTAAAAGATAATATATTAGTTGAACCTTATTAGTTTCGCTCTATTTATTTATTTATTTATTTTCTCTATTTTAAACTTATATCGTTATTGAACAAAAACAAAAAAGAAAAAATACAATTTTTTAAAATAACAACCAATAATATAATAAGTAAAAACTAAAAATAAAAGGATAAATAGACATACAAAAGAAATAAAAATTACAATCTATTCTTAAAATATTGCGTTTTTAGGCAAATTTTCAAGTTTAATTTAGAAAGAGAAATTGAAAATTTTAATAAGGAGCAAGAGACTGAATAGGAGATTTCCGCGGCTGCAAAGAACCTCCGGCAGACAACGATGGCGATGACGATGTTGAAGAGCAAGAAGGTGATGGGCTCGGTGGACGTGGATATCCGTGCGTTCGTTGAAAGATGCCACACTATTCAAGTTTAACCAAACAATTATTCGTTTTGTCATAAACAAAATCGACGTCAAAATAAATTTAAAAAAATAAACTACTTTTCCACAAAGTGATTGTCCATTTGGAGTTCTCCAGCACGGAGTATTACGAGCACCACAATTCTGGCACGTGACATCACTATCTCTTCGTTGTCCACGCATTAATCTTATTGTACCATCTGGCGCTATCTCTGTAGGACGTTGAACTCCCTTCAAAAAGCAAACATACCAAATAAGATATATTTCAAGTTTAAAAATAAATAAAAATGCAAATACCTTATTTTTTAGGCTGTAAATTCAAAGAAAAATTAGAAAATTAGATGATCATTCTAATAAACACAATACGTAATGATATGCACACTCACTATAAACCACAGGCATTACATAGCAATGCAACTCCTTGTAAATCACGTCTCCAAGCAGGCGTTTCTCTTACACCACAATTTGAACATTGTGGAATTTCATCGTGACGTAAACCACTGATAATTGGTGATGGGATTTGAGAAGATGACGATCCAGATCCTTGGACAGCAATATCAACTATCTCATGATGCTTGCGAGTCCGTTTCTTTTTCAATTTTATGAAATTATTGTGATGAATGTTTGCATGCGTCGTTGTGTCAAAAAGATGCGCAAACGGGATTGAATTGTGTTCGCGATTAATAGAATGTTGTGTTTGCATTGGATGCTGTTGAGATCCTAAAATCGGATTAAACGCGTATTGAGGAAATTGATTTTGAATTGTTGCATTCGCGTAATATTGTAAAGAGCGTAACATGTTCCCATCATGATTATCAAAATAATTTGTTGCTGTCGAAGGTTCTAAAACGGAGGACCAATAGTCATTTGCGCCATTCCCGTTAATAATATTTTGAATATTATGATTATTAGTGTTATTATTGCTATTATCTAAGATATCTAGCAGCGAAGAATCATCAGAACATTCGGAACTCGCGCGATTGATAACGAAATCATTGGATGCTCCTGCATACTCAGTTGCCATGAGGTCTGGATCAATTATATTTCCATTAACGATCATGGAGTTGACTGGAATGCGCGAATTATTATTATCATTGTTATTGTTTCTATTATAATTTTGATTGTTGAGATTTTCGTTTCTAGAATTAGTTAGATTCTGAATGTAAAATTGTTCGTTATCACCAGCATTGGTGGTCGCAGCATCCATATAAGTAAAGTAATTCGCATTTTGTTCCCAATTGGATACTATTTGTTGATTAGAAATACTATCATTATTACCGGCGATATTTAGATTCTCATCAATATCCGGTACACTAAAGTCGTGAACAGATGACGAATCATTGGATCTCATATCGTAAATAATAACATTGGTATTGAGCATTTGATCATTTATAGTGGATGAATCGAATGAATCGTTATTGTTGTTGGCAATAACGGCGGTGGACTCAGATTGATCTTGATAGACAGAACTACTATTCTCGTCGTCGTTTTGTTGCCAATTATCGTCATCACACATATTTTGATTGGCGACGACTGTTGGAAAAATATCTTCGTCGTTGTTCAATCCTATTCCGAATTCATCGGTAAAATTAGCATTGCTGTTGTTTTCCATTTTTTGGGACATTCTTATATATATAAAAGAGAACATTGATTATAAAAGATCAGCCATTAACCGGAATGATTAAAATAAGGAATTTTAAAATACCCGAATTATTTATATGTTACGCACACGAGACTTGAAGTCAGGTTGATTTCTATTTTTATAGCTAAAATCAACAACAGCGGACACACAGAGAAATATATATATATATATATATATATATATATATATATTTATTAAATATTCAAGAAAAAAAGAACGAAACGAGAGTGTGTGTCTAGTGCAAAAGATAAAGGAGTTTATATATATATATAAAGTTAAAAAGTATATTATTATATTATTTACTTATTATTATCAACAGTTTTATTTGGTATTTTATGTTGATTTTATTTTCATTTATTTATTGGTCCTTAAATAAAATTGATATTTCATGCGCTATCACCAGCAAAACTGACTGACGACCAATGATCAATCGAATATCAAATTACTATTATAGTTATTATCATGGAATAATGAAAGTATTTCATAGTCAGCTCAGCACATAAAGCGTTGAGTGGGAGGTTATAATTATTAATTTGACATTTGTTGCATGTGGTAGCAGTGTGAAATCCGGTTTTCTTGGGTGATTTCTTGAATGATCCATGTCTTTGGGTATTTTATGTTTTGAAATTTACATGATTTGATATTTACCATGCGCGTTTTCTGGGTTGTTGGTGATGCATTACGTATTTCCCGGGATCAGGTCTAATTTATTTACTTTAATATTTACAATAATCGTGTGATTTTTAAGTGGTTTTTTGTCGTAGTTTTTCTATCATAGAAATCAAGAACTCGCTCGTGGGTAAATATTACTGGTGATTGAACAAATAGATCGAAAGGTTGATTGATGAGATTGATCTATAGTTTTAAAATTGAAAAAATGCGATAGAACTAAATTTTGCTATATAAACAAGCTAAAAAGGAGCAAGCTCGCTATTTTTTATGAAAAAATAAAAGGATGGAGAGAAACTGCAATTTGAAATATTAATAATAAAAGAAAAAACACGTATTTGTAATCAATCATTCAATCAAACGATAAATTAGTTCATAACGCAATAATGTATCGCGATAATGCAACAGAACAATTAATCGCAAATAATTCATTAATTCATTGATCGATTCATTTCTCTCTTTTATCTTGTCTTACTAATATTATAGATCAATTTAGAAATGCATTCTTTGTTGCATTTTACATTCTGGTATGTGCTTATGATGTAACGTGCTTCAAATTCCAATTATGTACGCGCGTAAGGAACATGTACTTATAAAACATCTTTTTACTATATAAGGCTAAGCTGCCGCAATATCTTAACAAATAAACGAAAACAGCGATTAAGCATAGCTTATGTTTATTATCAACAACTAATGATTCTAAACTGTTTGTTCCCCTTAATTCGTTTTGTGCAAGTGGCAGTGATAAGTCTCGCTTTGAGACAAAGAGAATTCACGTTGAACAATAAAAAGGAAGTGGCGGTTGGTCAATTTCTTAATTTGTCTAGGTAAATTTGATGAGGTATTTTCATTAGCATACTTAATTTGTCAATATCGCTGCTCATCTTTTAGATAAGAGTGTTTATTCTTCGTAATTGGGGACTGTTTATATTCATCTTGCTTACTAGTCAATTACGTAATTATTTGACGTATTATGATAATGGCGATAAACAAAATGGGATATATAATCAAAATTCGATATGAAGGGGTCGCGTTATACGAAATAAAGTTTGTCTCGAGAACTAATCATTCCTCATTGCTGTGGGCCCCCATTATAAGCCATTCTCGGTGTAATAAGCTTTTCGCTTGGTTCCCGAATAGTTCCCGTTATATGATGTTCAATATAATAATTCTGCATATATTTTATTACAATATCATATCATTTTATGACAAATATCATGTAATAATATTATATGATAATGCATAATCCTTGAAACAACAAATAAACTGATTTGCATACGCGACAAAGAATACGAATTCCTTTTGTTAATATACTGTACGTAATATGCGTAGGAAAGCCGTATCTCTTTATTTGTTTGATTTAGTGCTCAATTTGTATACATGTAGTCATAAACGTAATACAATATTTCAAGGTAAGTTGTAAGTGTCTCTTTTAACCTGGCTGAGTCAGATAATATATTAAAATAATATAAAATCGTCATTCGTCAATATAATCATTGATAATAACTTTCAAAAAATAAATTATTGCCAAAATTCATAGGGACATTGATATGTAAATTTTGGGAGTCTTGAATAAACAGATCAGATCAAATCCCACTAAATTAAATTTTATTCGAAAAGTTAAACCTGAAATAACCTGTAGTCATACCAAGAAATTTGTCATACATCTCGGCATGTATATCTGTACATGCATTTGAGATGTCTATAATTAATATATATAAAGAACTTCTGTTTCTAGCAAAACATGAGCCTTCTATTACACAACAGTATTATTTAATAACTTTGTTTTTCCCGACAACCCAAAAGCCCTTAAAAATATATGTGCATGTAGTTTGTGTAAATTTTTTGCCCACCCGCATAACTTTACATTATTTACAATGGGGGGGGTTTATAAAAATTGCAAATCAAAATTGAATTCAAAAAAATATTTATGATTTATAAACTTTTAGCCATTTCAAAACGAGAAAAGATTTTTTGCACATGTATAATGTAATTTATAAAATCAAAAAAAAAACTTGAATTAAAATGCGTACTGTAATAAAAATTTTAAACCATGATAAATTCTCGCGCTTATTATATCAGCATTCGGGATTCTTGCTTTGAAACTATACAAAATGCACATCTAACTTTAAATATTAATGTCGATATTACATAATTTGTACTGACGCTTCAGTGTGGAGTATTTATTCTCCGTTGACAATTAAAAAATTACATATACATGTAATTTGTGTTTCCATCCCAAATAAATTTTAAATCCAGGGAAAACAAGATGAGGCTTTCGTATTTGTTCGACTAAAAAAAAACCTTGGCGGTATATCATATTTTTTGAATGCATTCGCGTATCCAAGTTTCATATCACGTATACCAATGAATTAATAATTTTTTTATTAGCTTATAATAGATAAAACAACAATAAATATAAAATATAATAACACAGTCAATGCTTTTATAATATAGATTGTCACTTTGAACAAATAATATAAATAACATGCGGACACTGGCAAATTTATTTCTTCCTTGGCACCATCGTCTTCATACATACTACGATAAACAATAATGGGAAATTCCAAATCGACTTCGAAGAAACAAAAGATCGCTTTGACAAATGAGCGGCAAAAACAACAAATCAGACGAAAAGAAGAATATTATTTGCCTAAATCATATTATGATATTGACCGACTACAACGTCATCATTTTTTCGTCAAACATGTATTCGGGCATAATTTCTCATGCCCGCTGGAAGAAACTTTAAAAACAGGTGCCCGCGTTTTGGATGGAGGGTAAATACATGTCAATCATTTTCTATTGTCAATCATTTTTCATATTTTCTACATAGTATTGTTTTTGCTCTCCAAAAGGTGTGGGCCGGGAGTTTGGCTTCTTGACATGGCGACGCAATATCCTAACTCGCATTTCTATGGTATTGATATTGAACCACTCTATCCTAGCCAAATAAAACCGGCAAATGTAAACTTTTATCGGTGCGATTTGATGCAATTGGAGAAATTAAATTTCGAGGAGAACTCATTTGATATGGTTCGAATAGGTTTTATGAATCTTACATTTAATGAAGAAATCTATGCCAAAATAATTGAGAAAATGTTAAAGTCAGTCATTTTTTCTGAACGATGTTTACATGGGTTTAATATATATTCAAATCCATCTTCGTTATTTTTTGATAGATTTTTAAAACCCGGTGGATATTTTGAAATTTCGGAAGTAGAATTAATTTACTCTAATATTGGAAAGAATTTTACACAAATGATGAAAACACGTATGTATAAATTGATAATTACTCCTCATTTTGCAACGTAAACTAACCTCCAATAAATTCCAGTAATCACGAGTCTTGAAAGGAGTGCAGATCTCACTTTGAAACACGAAAATATGTTACTCGCCACGGGGCAATTAACTAACATTCAACAAGTGATACGAGTAACAAAGCTTGGATCATCTGGTGGTTTTGCCGGAGAACTATATTTAAGTCTAGTCGAGGAATTTTTTATGGGTCCTATTAGAATGTTGTTAGGCGAGGTAATGGACATGTCTCCAAAGGAATACGAGCAGTTTTGGCAACAATGCAAAGCTGAGTGTATTGAATTGGGAACTGGAGTTCCGATTAAGAGAATTTGGGGGCAGAAAATTGTTATTTAACTATTATTCAATGATAAACTGAATAATTAATATGTTTTAAGATTAATGTACAAATTCAAATACATGTAAAAATAATTTAATTCAGAATAGATAGAATATGCTATGTCAAAATAAGGAAAATAAAAAGTTAATATTTTAAAAAAATCTAGTTTCATTAATCTCTCCTTTGGTTCGTAATAAGATTCAATGGTTGCATAAACACGTATGTAGTGATCAAAAATCTGCTATATCGATATAGACTGTTCTAGGCCTCTATTTGTTACATGATCACAAAAAACATGGGTTTTTGCTTGGCCATGCAATACGTTATCATATTACTATTTATATATTACATGTATTTTTATCTTGGTTCAACAATCTACATGTATTGTGGCTCAATTCTCGATTTGTTATACACAATAAGCATATCGATATAATATTACTTCAAATTAAAATAATTTTCGTTCATAGACTTTATCAATATGAAAATTTTCAAAAATCTAAAATCATATTTAATAACAAATACGTGTATATAGCATTTTTTTCATATAATCACATGAAATAGATTATTAATTTTATATATTTATTTATTTAAAAATCTCAAAAGTATTATCTACTTTTTTTGAAATTTACATTATACGTATAATTTCAAGTATTTATAATATATAATTAAACTTGAAATACTAGAAATGTATATTTTAAAACTACATTAAAAATATAATAAAAATCAGAAATATTAATTATTAATTTGATGAATACTAATGAGAAATTTTATAAACTAAATTAAAATAATTTAATATAATATCTGAATTATAGTTTATATTGTTAAATTCATTTGAAAATTTATCAGATTTTTTTAATTAAATTATTATTAATTAGACAAAACTAGAATAAACACTTAATAGATAATTAGAATTAGAATAATTATAATAAGTAATATGTTATCTCATATTTTTTAAAATAAATTTTTGATTAAATATATGATATTTAACTTTTTTTGAAAAGTTTTTTTAAGTTAAACCTTTATGATTTAAATTAGTTATTTATTTTAAATTTCTTTGCTATTTTAATATTTATTTTTAAAGTTAAATATTTAAGAAAAAATAACCTATATTTTATTATATCAGAATTTAAAATAAATTGGTTTTAAATCTATATAGTGATGATCAAAAGTAATGATTCAGGGGCTAAATTTATTAATAAAACATAATGAAAATTGAAAATTTCTCTCTATATTAAAATTTATAATTTTATTAATAATTTTATTTTTATATTAAAATAAAGTTTATTAGTTATAGTTTAACATATATTTTTTCAGATTTTTTAGATTTTTTCTGAAAGAGTTGCTCTAATTGTAAAGTTAATGCAAAAATTTTTACTAACTAAAAATGAAATTTAATTAATAAAAATTTTTGCACTAACTTTATAATTAAAGTAACTCTTTCAAAAAAAATCTAAAAAATCTGAAAAAAATATATGTTAAACTACAACTGATAAACTTTATTTTAATATAAAAATAAAAATTATTTCTTATTAAAATTATTAATTTTTATATAGAGAGAAAATTTCAATTTTCACTATATTTTATTAGTAAATTTAGCCTCTGAGTCATTACTTTTGGTTATCACTATATATATATATATATTTTATATACATATTTTAATTTTAAATTATTATATTTTAGTAAAGATAAATTCAGAATAATTTGAATAATTTATGTGGAGCATGATTAAATTAATCAAGATAGTAAAAAAAGATAATCTTTCTGATTCTAAATTCATATTTTATTTCTCAGTTAAAATATTAATATACTTAGAAAAACTAAATAAAAATATTCTTGTCTAAATTATAGAAGTTAAAATTATATTTCTAATTCAAGAGATTGCAAATAAAAAAATATAAATTTAATATACTGTCATCTTCTTGACTATATAATTTTATATTGATATCTTAATAAAATAAAAACAGATGATAATATTATACTCTTTGAAACTAGTAAGCTTTTGTTATAGTACTTAAAAAAGTCTTTTAATTATTATATTATTAATAATATCTTTATAAATAACTTTATCTTCTTCATTAAATAGAATTTGTACTAAAAATAACTCTTTAACTATTATAATATAATAATAAATAAAGTATTATTTAGTTATAACTGGTTATGATTTATAAAATTTTAGAGTTATAATATATTATAATAGATAATAAATAAGTATTATTATAAACTATACTCTGAAAGGTAGATTTTATCACAAATATAATTTATAATAAGTTTTGAGAGTGAAGACTGAATTATTTATAAAAATTAAAAGGATAATAATTATTCTAAAGATTTTCTAGTGCCAATACTTATGAGTATTATATTAACACAAGACAAAAATAAAATAAAACAAAAATATAAAAACAAAGTTGTGATCATGAAAACTAAACTAAGAGTAGGTATCAAAAACTAAAATAACAAATATTATAACTAAAACAAAAGATTTAGTGCACTGACTAAACCCTTTAACAATATTTTTTTAATTATTAGGCAAACAAAGAGTATATACCAAAACAAAATAAAGCTTTTATATATGAGAAAGCTTACAAGAATCTTCTAAATCAAATAAAATATACTTGACTTATT